GCGGGGGGCGTTGGAAGGGGGCGGGGGGAGAGTCTCGCCCTGCCCCCGCCTCCTCCTCCCACCGCCTGGGAACGGGGACCCTCCCTCGGGCGTGAGGTGCGGCCCCTGCTCGCTGCATCCGGCGCGGAGGGGCCACAATGCACGGCATTGGCATTCGCCGCGCCGTCAGTCGGCTCCAGAGTGAACGCGTCGGCGCCGCCCAGAGTAACTGCGCGCGCCTGTCGGAGCCTGCGGGCTGAGGATTTGGGGTCGAGGATCCCCGGGCTCTTGCCTGCTCAGGGGCGACACGCGGGTAGATCACCGAGGGGGCGATACCGCCACGGGGATATGGTGCAGACTTCACTGCGGGGCACGCTGGATCAGCGGAGGAAAGCGGGGAGGAGGCAGCGCTCTGCACGGTCTCTTCCTTCTCAGTTCCCGGACGGCTTAAGTAACGGAAAGGCAGTTCCTTTGCACACACACTACCTAGTGGGTATAGGCCTTAATCCTGAGACTTGCAATATAGGTACAGTCCTGTGTAAATGGGTAATTTTAGGAAATTGCATCTTTAGATTTGGTTCTACCTTAGCACTGTGTTCCTTATTCATAGTTAATTTAGCTGTGGCAACGTCTTTTGCTCTCCCCTTATTGCTTTTGGAGTGCTAAAAACTTTTTGAAGCAAAATGCAGGACAATGTAGCACTTTAAAGACTAACAAGATGGTTTATTAGACGATGAGCTTTCGTGGGCCAGACCCACTTCCTCAGATCATCTAATAAACCATCTTGTTAGTCTTTAAAGTGCTACATTGTCCTGCATTTTGCTTCAACTACCCCAGACTAACACGGCTACATTTCTATCAAAAACTTTTTGGTCTGTGTATGGTTCTTCCCTGTCTCTTTCTGCCCCAAGGCACAGCCTGGATAGTGCTTGTTCCCACTAACCTTCTAAGAGGCTGTTGACTTTAACCAATGAGGGAGATAATACATTGGATCCTATTTTGTGACTTGAAGGGCCGACTTTGTAACTTGTTTTAGTGTCTTTTGAAGATCAAGTCTGAAAGGAAATGTAAAGAATTAACAATTTACAAACTTTCACTCTCCCTTTTACCCAAGCATATATCATTTTGGGGTAGATTTCAAACATGTTTCAAGATTTGTCATGACATTTTAATAAATGCAAAGTTGATTAAGAGTCAAGAGCTACCCACTTTGTGTGTCGGACAGTTCTGTTAAACCTAGTCTTTCAGTGATATAGGCAGATTATGTTTTCCTTCGTTTTCATCTGGAAAACAGAATGAATTCAGATTATTTCTCTGAGTGAAATTCAGCCTTCTTTATTAGGGAGCTGCAGGGTGTGCCTTTTATGTTAAGGGTGAAGTGTTGTATGGTTCCCCTCTCCCTCCCGCTTAAAACTGGTAATAAGTTTGGAATAGAAATCAGTTCGTGATGTCATAAACAACATTCAGTTGTTTGACACAAGGACTGAACTAGAAATATGTAGGATCTTGCTCTTTTCCTCTGTGGAGGAGAAAAAACAATCATTTTATGACTTGTACACATTCAAATGAAATTTAATGTGGGCTGGGATATTAAAATAGTTAATCTTTGTTAAATAAAAGTAGCCCTTTAAAAATATTTAATGTGTATGGTTTTTGAGGACAAACTCCATTCCCAGAAACATGTCTAACACAGAAAAGTCTGTTATATAGAACCTTATTGGAAAACTACCTAATAATACTGGAATATGGTTATTATAACTTATTTTTTTAAATGTGGTACATAGGTGCATTTGATCCAGGTGTAAATTGTCTTAAAATGATGATGTGTTCAGGATTTTAAGTCAATCCTTGACCGGGAGACAAAGAATGATGGGGAGTGTATCTATTACTAATTTTTTATAAGTTCTGTTAATGATCTACCAAATGCTTAGCTATAGATCCATGCTATACCAATCTATATAAACTTGTCTTTGGTATATGCATATACAAGTGTTAAATACATACTTCTGCCTACCTATTAATATTCTAATAAATGATGTGCTATTAATAAAAGAGGAGGAGACATTCAGACATACACTCTAATATAAAGCACTTTGGCCTGTGTTTTTTCCTTGTCACCTAGTGCAGAGAGGAGCACTGTGGAATGCTGCTCGATTTTGTGAAAAGATGCCTGTGGTATTTTAACACTGGGCAGCTGCTTACAACCCCTCCAATGTGAGTGCTTTGCTCTGCCTGTGTGTTGAGCACCAAACTAACTAATGTGGGAGACATTGACGTCCACCAGGTTATGGAATGAGATCAGCTTATGTTACATAGGATCGTAGGCCATAAAACAGCCAAAAGATGACGTTAATTTTATGAAATAGACATTTGAAATGCTATGAGCATGGTTATACTAGCACATCCTTAGTACTAATCTGACTTTTCTATCATTTCTTAAATCTCTCTCTTTTAGTACTTGAGTCTAATAAACTTTAATCTTAAAAAAACCTAGAGCTCTGTTTTAAATTTAATAAAAATCCTGGTATATAATTTGAGCATATTAGATACAGTAGTAACTTCTTGTTCTGTGAATAATCGTAGCCATCTGGTACCATAGTTGCCCTATGAGCAAAATAAGGCCTGGGCAAAATAAGGCTGGCGGGACAGATCCAGCCTGCCAAGCCATTGGATCTGGCCCGCGAATGCAGCGTGGAGCGTCAGGAAGACTCCCTGCTTGCCCCACCTCCTCCTGCACACCACTCAGAAAAGTTGTTGATGGGCCATTTGTGTTTCACCGCTGGGGCTAGGACAAAGGCTTCATGCTCTGCCCTTACTCCTAGCACAATCCCATTGGCTGATTTCTGGCCAATGGGAACTTCCTGTTTGAAGACTAGGCAGCGTGCAAAGCACCACTTCCCCCATCCTCTCCAGCTTTTATTCACAGATGCACATGACCTCTGCAGCCTGTGTGGGGACGGGGCAGGCAGAGAGCCTGCCTGAGAAACATGCTGGGCTGCTGGCTGGGAGTAACCTAGGTAAGCCTCCCAGTCAGAACCTGTCTCTGGCACCCCAGCCTCTTCCTTCCCCAACCTTCTGCCTCCCCCACTCCTGTCCCTCTGCCCCATATAAGCCAAACCTTCTTCACCCTCTCCTCTCAACCACCCACTGCAGCTGGCCCACCACCGCGCATGGTGCAGCCCCCTCGCCATCCCACAGGACTGCCTCTGTCCCACGGGGCCTCTGTCCCATGGGGCAGCTTTTACAATGGCCACTGCTGCTGGGAGGAGGAGGGGTGACCAGATCCGAGGCGCTGAGTAGCGGCTCTTGGACCTTGGCGTTTTTAAACTGCTGCCTGTGCAGAACTCTGTTCAGGCTCGGCTGTCCCCCTATCCCTCCCCCACCCAGGGCGTGCTTGGGCTCTGCTGCCCCCCATGCACTGCCACTCTCTCTCCACCACACCCCTCCCCATCCTGCTGGGGAAGTGGCAGAGTTTGGTCTGGCGGAGAAGGTTGGGGTTTCTACACCATCCCCATTCCCTGCCAGTGGGAAGCCTGACCTGGTGCTGCATTCCTTGCTGCTTGGGAGGGGTGGGGGACTGAGCTCCCTCTCCCACCCCGAGACCCCTTTTCCTCCCAGGAACAAGAGCATGTTCCCTGGAGGCTTGCAGGGTGCCAGGCCAGGTAAGCGTCCCCCCTCATGCCCAGACCCTGCATCCAAATCCCCCTCACTCACTCCCCTCTCCCTGCCAAGACCCCATATTCCCAGCGTGCTCTGACATCCTGCCCCAAGACCCCTCCTGTACCCTCCCTCCTGGCCAGACACCCTGCCCCAAGCTGGGCTGGGCAGCTGGGACCCACAGATAACCGGAATTTTTAGATAACCGGAACACCTTAATCCCTGAGCATGCTGGATAACACAGGTTTTACTGTAATAGTAAAAAGTATACTAAGATTTGAAAGCTAGCTGTCCTATTGCTAGGGAGGGGTGAATGCAGGACTAGAAACCAAGTACTTCTGAATTCTGACATGAGCGCTGCTGCTATCTGCCCTCTGAGGCCCTGAATGAATCACTAATACTCTACATCTATTTTTCTATTTGAAAATTGGAGATATTCAGGGTTTGAAAATGGATGAATAATAAGCACTGTTTTATATAAGTAAATACTTTGCTACTATAAGTGACCTTGCAAGAGTTAAGAGCCTGCCTGATTCAGGAGAGTGCATATATACTAAATATGCTTAAGTCCCACTGGCATCAGTGGGGCTTGAGCACGTATTTAAGTGATATTTTATAAGGATGCTTTCCTGAATCAGGGCAAAAGACAGCACGTTCTTGTGATACGTTTTATTTTCAGATATAATCAAAATTATGTAAATGGATGAAACAGTATTTCATATGAAACCTCACCAGGCTTTTAACCATGGAATTTCTTTTTATGTCTATCATACCATCTGCCTTGAATGGTATTAAAATTCTAAGCCAAACATTATCTGTCAGCAATTATTTCTCAAACATTGTTTTTATTTATTTTGTGTTGTGGTGTGTAACTTTTAGTATTGGGATTTGGAAACTGCAAATTAAGTCAAGCTGACCAATGGTTTTAAGTATTTTTACTGTAACACTACAGAAATAGAAATACACATTTATTTTTGACAAGGTACTATGCATAGTTAATAACTCTCATTTTTTAAAATTGGTCTGTAGTTGAGAGGTCCGAGGTTTTCTGAGTGCATTGGCCGGATTCATAGAAATTGGGTATTGATATGGATTTATTAATTATTAATCTCTCTGGCACACTAAGATTGTTTCTATGTTACTCCTTGCAGCATCCTGCCCAAGGTACTGCTAAATTTTGAGATACAACTGCCCTAAAATCAAATAGATCTCACTCTCAAGGATTTTCAACATATTCAGCCTAACTTTCTGTTCCCTGAGTGCATATCAATACTCCTGATTGTATCTCCTATACAGTCTGTAGTAATTCCTTTGTGTCTTTGGTGGTTACAGTTTTAAGTAGTTGTAGTCTATCATCTTGTTTTATTACCTCATAATGTATACATATTTTATCTTTGCAGACTCTGTGTTCTTCACTGTCTTCTGAATTCTCTCCCAGATTTGTTTACCATGTCAGCAGACAGAAATCCAGAACTAAATGCAAGTGTAGCCCTAGGGGTAGTTGTACAATCAGGGATTACTTACTGCAGTTCTTAGGGCTTAAGCATTTTTGTCATGATAGTTTTGAATAGAATTTAGCTATGCAAGTAGATATTTCTATTATATAAGCGCCTCTAAGCAGGGATTGTATTTAAACAATGTTTGCAAAATGGCTTGTATAAATACAGCATTATTTGAGGTGAGTGCATAATGTGATGCTTCATGATGTATTGAATGTCTGCTCCATAAGTTTACACTGTTGGTTACTGTGGGAAATTAGTGTGTGTTTTGCTATCACAGGCCAGCAAAAGTTAATAGTTTCTTCCTTTAAATAGCTGACATTTTACACTTGGTTATCATAACTTGCTAGCCTTCAGTGCTTAAGGAGACTCGTCCATCAGTACGTTATGTAAAAAAACTTTCAGCTTATTGGGGAAGGTCAGTTCCATTTTTAACTCCTCATCCATATGACTGATTCTAAAGTTACAGCTCTGATTGTGATGTTAGAAATACGATTGAAATCCAAATAGTTATTCAAATATTACGGGAAGAGTAACCATTAATAGATAATAGTTGGCATCAGTGCATTAAAAAGATAGAGTTCTATCAAGACTATGAGGTTAACTGTTTAAAATACATATACTGCTTCTTAACAGTGGGAGTTCCCAACTCAAGCAGAGCTGCGAATTTAAGAGTGTAGATCAGGATGAGCAATAATTTTGGACCAGGGGCTACTTCAGAAAATTAAGTGGCCCTGGGCTGCCCTGGAAGGGGTGGGGTCTTAAGTGGAAGAGGCGGGGTCAGGGCACTTCTGTGCTTCTTTGCCCACAGACCCTGATTGGTCTGTGGGTGGAAGAGTGCATGAAGTCTTTGCTCCCATCCTCCCCAGAAAGAACCATCAGCTGTTTTAAACAGCTGGAGGTTCTCATTAGGTGCCCGTGCCCTTGGTGGTGAGAGGAGACACTGCACTCCACCCTCCTGCCCCCAGGTCCATCAGGGTCTGGGGGTGGGAGAGCATGCATAATCTTTCCACACCCTTTGTGCGCTTCCTTGTCCTCAGGTCCTGATCGACTTGGAGGTGGGGGGAGCACAAAGTCTCTTGCTCTCTGCCCTCTGGAGCGTGGCACTTAGTCAACTGTGAGGGTTGACTCAAGCGCTGCATGCTCCCCAGTCCCTAGGCCCGGATTAGCCTGGGGGCAGGGGAGCGTCAGGACCTCCACGGGTTGGATCTGGCCCGTGGAGGCCCTTTGGCCCACCCCAGGTGTAGAAAGATCTATAAATATGTGGTGGTTCACATTTAAAAACTGAAATATGCTTTGTATTTGTCCATAATCTTAAATGTATTGACAGAATACAGATATGACCTTTAAAATTTCTTACATATTTCTGAAAAGTAAATGGTGAGGTTTTATTTCTGAAAACACTTGAGTTCAAGATTTATATATGATTATCCTAACTCTTTCAGGAGAAACAAAGGTCTAAAGCAGAATAAGTAATGTAGTTTCCTCTCCAAAAGACCATGCAGCCAGGAATTTGTTTTTAAGAGAAGTAAGAGGAGAGGGGGAAAAAAACATTTCTTATGATCTGAAACATAAAAATATGACTGTATTAGTAATGGAATTCACTGTGTATACCAGAGTCCTAACTTATTTTTCTGTTCACATATTGAGACTGGGACTAAGTATTAGAAGAGACTGCTGGATACTACTTATATGTTAGCAGGAAATGCTGTTCTGCAAGTCATATTCATGAACTCAGTTTACTGTATGGCCTCAGACTGACTTGAAGCCAAGTCTTGAGGGAAGGCCTTTGTATTTTACTGTGTGCCAATTTTTTCCCTGTGACTGAGCTATTTTTAGTTTTGCCAAAGGCAAAAAAGGTTAACATTGCATCTTGAACAGCTTACAGACTGTTATTAAGCTCATTTTCACATCTGAATAAAAAATAAATTCAGCATTAAGGTCAAACAAATTGCCTATATGTCTCACTCCAGCGTATACAGCATTGTAGCATATTGGTCTCAGGATATTAGAGAGAGATGGTGGGTAAGATATATTTTATTGTACCTTACTTGCCCTGTCTGCACTGAGGTTAGACATTTAAATTTTGTTTTGTTAATCCAAAACACATTATAATAAAATATTTTCACAATTGCAGGCACTTGGCTTCCTGTGGTATTCTGGTGAGCAGAATTCCTCCAGTGCAAGGATCTGTCACAAACCATACCTTCGCAAGAAGAACTTTCTTCAACATTGCTGCACCATTTGTAAACAAAAGAAAAGAATATTCTGAGAGAAGAATTATAGGGTTTGTATAGTAGAACTACGGAAATAGATTTATAAATGACTGTGTGCATTTAGTGTTCATGAATTGTTGTAGATAACCAGAAATACTAGAAATTCAAAGATTGTGATGATTAATGATTTTAAAGGAGACTGACTTTCTAGAATGTGTAAAGCACCTCTCCCCTTAAAATCAGGTTCCTTTTTAATTGTCTCAAATTTAATATAAAAAAAATAAGACACTAAAATCACTAGCCAGTTTTGAAGGGGTTAGTCTGATTATTGTGTTGTCCAGAAATTAAACTCACACTCAAAATAAATACATACATAAAATGCTACTCCTTCTGGTGAAAAGAATGCCGTAACCATTTAATCTGCTTCTGTGGAAAACAAATTCTTGCAAAATATCCAAGTTATGAACTCAACTAGTTTTTCCTAATTTGCTCCAAGTATATGCTAATACAGTAAAACTCTGATGGTCTGGCACTCCTGATGGTCCGGTACCATCAGGAACCCGGAAGTGCTCTGGGCAGCTGGACCATTGGAGCTGCTCTGCCCCCAGCTTCCCCGATTCAGCCGCTGCTAAAACTGACCAGTGGCTGAATCGGAGAAGCTGGGAGCGGGGG